GCCCCCACATTACATAAAATACCCTTTATAATATTAAAACCCCAGGGTTTGGGCTGAATGGGCTCACAACTTTGGATAACGCTATCTGTACTGCTACGGAGATTCCCAGGTTCCTTGTCTTAAATTCTGCACACGGAAAAGAATGAAACGACTCCATGTTGTAACTTCAACAGAATATATTTTGCTACACTAAAAGTTACATGATACAAGTATGACTTCTCTCTCCTTCTCTCTCAACATCCTCCTCGAGATTTCAGTTTTCAGATTTCTTTATACTAAACTTTATCAGTTAAACTGTCCATCACGTAGCTTAGAAACTGATTGGTTACTTCATACACAAGTCCACCCTCTTCCTGGTGGGCACTCCTAAGAACACCCTGTAATCTAGTTTTAACAGAGGGCCACTTGTGGGGAACCCACCTTAAACCATCCCGGGGCCCCCACATTACATAAAATACCCTTTATAATATTAAAACCCCAGGGTTTGGGCTGAATGGGCTCACAACTTTGGATAACGCTATCTGTACTGCTACGGAGATTCCCAGGTTCCTTGTCTTAAATTCTGCACACGGAAAAGAATGAAACGACTCCATGTTGTAACTTCAACAGAATATATTTTGCTACACTAAAAGTTACATGATACAAGTATGACTTCTCTCTCCTTCTCTCTCAACATCCTCCTCGAGATTTCAGTTTTCAGATTTCTTTATACTAAACTTTATCAGTTAAACTGTCCATCACGTAGCTTAGAAACTGATTGGTTACTTCATACACAAGTCCACCCTCTTCCTGGTGGGCACTCCTAAGAACACCCTGTAATCTAGTTTTAACAGAGGGCCACTTGTGGGGAACCCACCTTAAACCATCCCGGGGCCCCCACATTACATAAAATACCCTTTATAATATTAAAACCCCAGGGTTTGGGCTGAATGGGCTCACAACTTTGGATAACGCTATCTGTACTGCTACGGAGATTCCCAGGTTCCTTGTCTTAAATTCTGCACACGGAAAAGAATGAAACGACTCCATGTTGTAACTTCAACAGAATATATTTTGCTACACTAAAAGTTACATGATACAAGTATGACTTCTCTCTCCTTCTCTCTCAACATCCTCCTCGAGATTTCAGTTTTCAGATTTCTTTATACTAAACTTTATCAGTTAAACTGTCCATCACGTAGCTTAGAAACTGATTGGTTACTTCATACACAAGTCCACCCTCTTCCTGGTGGGCACTCCTAAGAACACCCTGTAATCTAGTTTTAACAGAGGGCCACTTGTGGGGAACCCACCTTAAACCATCCCGGGGCCCCCACATTACATAAAATACCCTTTATAATATTAAAACCCCAGGGTTTGGGCTGAATGGGCTCACAACTTTGGATAACGCTATCTGTACTGCTACGGAGATTCCCAGGTTCCTTGTCTTAAATTCTGCACACGGAAAAGAATGAAACGACTCCATGTTGTAACTTCAACAGAATATATTTTGCTACACTAAAAGTTACATGATACAAGTATGACTTCTCTCTCCTTCTCTCTCAACATCCTCCTCGAGATTTCAGTTTTCAGATTTCTTTATACTAAACTTTATCAGTTAAACTGTCCATCACGTAGCTTAGAAACTGATTGGTTACTTCATACACAAGTCCACCCTCTTCCTGGTGGGCACTCCTAAGAACACCCTGTAATCTAGTTTTAACAGAGGGCCACTTGTGGGGAACCCACCTTAAACCATCCCGGGGCCCCCACATTACATAAAATACCCTTTATAATATTAAAACCCCAGGGTTTGGGCTGAATGGGCTCACAACTTTGGATAACGCTATCTGTACTGCTACGGAGATTCCCAGGTTCCTTGTCTTAAATTCTGCACACGGAAAAGAATGAAACGACTCCATGTTGTAACTTCAACAGAATATATTTTGCTACACTAAAAGTTACATGATACAAGTATGACTTCTCTCTCCTTCTCTCTCAACATCCTCCTCGAGATTTCAGTTTTCAGATTTCTTTATACTAAACTTTATCAGTTAAACTGTCCATCACGTAGCTTAGAAACTGATTGGTTACTTCATACACAAGTCCACCCTCTTCCTGGTGGGCACTCCTAAGAACACCCTGTAATCTAGTTTTAACAGAGGGCCACTTGTGGGGAACCCACCTTAAACCATCCCGGGGCCCCCACATTACATAAAATACCCTTTATAATATTAAAACCCCAGGGTTTGGGCTGAATGGGCTCACAACTTTGGATAACGCTATCTGTACTGCTACGGAGATTCCCAGGTTCCTTGTCTTAAATTCTGCACACGGAAAAGAATGAAACGACTCCATGTTGTAACTTCAACAGAATATATTTTGCTACACTAAAAGTTACATGATACAAGTATGACTTCTCTCTCCTTCTCTCTCAACATCCTCCTCGAGATTTCAGTTTTCAGATTTCTTTATACTAAACTTTATCAGTTAAACTGTCCATCACGTAGCTTAGAAACTGATTGGTTACTTCATACACAAGTCCACCCTCTTCCTGGTGGGCACTCCTAAGAACACCCTGTAATCTAGTTTTAACAGAGGGCCACTTGTGGGGAACCCACCTTAAACCATCCCGGGGCCCCCACATTACATAAAATACCCTTTATAATATTAAAACCCCAGGGTTTGGGCTGAATGGGCTCACAACTTTGGATAACGCTATCTGTACTGCTACGGAGATTCCCAGGTTCCTTGTCTTAAATTCTGCACACGGAAAAGAATGAAACGACTCCATGTTGTAACTTCAACAGAATATATTTTGCTACACTAAAAGTTACATGATACAAGTATGACTTCTCTCTCCTTCTCTCTCAACATCCTCCTCGAGATTTCAGTTTTCAGATTTCTTTATACTAAACTTTATCAGTTAAACTGTCCATCACGTAGCTTAGAAACTGATTGGTTACTTCATACACAAGTCCACCCTCTTCCTGGTGGGCACTCCTAAGAACACCCTGTAATCTAGTTTTAACAGAGGGCCACTTGTGGGGAACCCACCTTAAACCATCCCGGGGCCCCCACATTACATAAAATACCCTTTATAATATTAAAACCCCAGGGTTTGGGCTGAATGGGCTCACAACTTTGGATAACGCTATCTGTACTGCTACGGAGATTCCCAGGTTCCTTGTCTTAAATTCTGCACACGGAAAAGAATGAAACGACTCCATGTTGTAACTTCAACAGAATATATTTTGCTACACTAAAAGTTACATGATACAAGTATGACTTCTCTCTCCTTCTCTCTCAACATCCTCCTCGAGATTTCAGTTTTCAGATTTCTTTATACTAAACTTTATCAGTTAAACTGTCCATCACGTAGCTTAGAAACTGATTGGTTACTTCATACACAAGTCCACCCTCTTCCTGGTGGGCACTCCTAAGAACACCCTGTAATCTAGTTTTAACAGAGGGCCACTTGTGGGGAACCCACCTTAAACCATCCCGGGGCCCCCACATTACATAAAATACCCTTTATAATATTAAAACCCCAGGGTTTGGGCTGAATGGGCTCACAACTTTGGATAACGCTATCTGTACTGCTACGGAGATTCCCAGGTTCCTTGTCTTAAATTCTGCACACGGAAAAGAATGAAACGACTCCATGTTGTAACTTCAACAGAATATATTTTGCTACACTAAAAGTTACATGATACAAGTATGACTTCTCTCTCCTTCTCTCTCAACATCCTCCTCGAGATTTCAGTTTTCAGATTTCTTTATACTAAACTTTATCAGTTAAACTGTCCATCACGTAGCTTAGAAACTGATTGGTTACTTCATACACAAGTCCACCCTCTTCCTGGTGGGCACTCCTAAGAACACCCTGTAATCTAGTTTTAACAGAGGGCCACTTGTGGGGAACCCACCTTAAACCATCCCGGGGCCCCCACATTACATAAAATACCCTTTATAATATTAAAACCCCAGGGTTTGGGCTGAATGGGCTCACAACTTTGGATAACGCTATCTGTACTGCTACGGAGATTCCCAGGTTCCTTGTCTTAAATTCTGCACACGGAAAAGAATGAAACGACTCCATGTTGTAACTTCAACAGAATATATTTTGCTACACTAAAAGTTACATGATACAAGTATGACTTCTCTCTCCTTCTCTCTCAACATCCTCCTCGAGATTTCAGTTTTCAGATTTCTTTATACTAAACTTTATCAGTTAAACTGTCCATCACGTAGCTTAGAAACTGATTGGTTACTTCATACACAAGTCCACCCTCTTCCTGGTGGGCACTCCTAAGAACACCCTGTAATCTAGTTTTAACAGAGGGCCACTTGTGGGGAACCCACCTTAAACCATCCCGGGGCCCCCACATTACATAAAATACCCTTTATAATATTAAAACCCCAGGGTTTGGGCTGAATGGGCTCACAACTTTGGATAACGCTATCTGTACTGCTACGGAGATTCCCAGGTTCCTTGTCTTAAATTCTGCACACGGAAAAGAATGAAACGACTCCATGTTGTAACTTCAACAGAATATATTTTGCTACACTAAAAGTTACATGATACAAGTATGACTTCTCTCTCCTTCTCTCTCAACATCCTCCTCGAGATTTCAGTTTTCAGATTTCTTTATACTAAACTTTATCAGTTAAACTGTCCATCACGTAGCTTAGAAACTGATTGGTTACTTCATACACAAGTCCACCCTCTTCCTGGTGGGCACTCCTAAGAACACCCTGTAATCTAGTTTTAACAGAGGGCCACTTGTGGGGAACCCACCTTAAACCATCCCGGGGCCCCCACATTACATAAAATACCCTTTATAATATTAAAACCCCAGGGTTTGGGCTGAATGGGCTCACAACTTTGGATAACGCTATCTGTACTGCNTTTGATTGGATTTCAGTTTAATTAATTTGATTGTTTTAATATCTTTAAGAATAGTTAAACTGGTATAATTTTAATACAAACTATCACACGATGTTGTTATTTTTTGTTCCAGACAGTGGAGTCAAGATGGATGGGATTTTTATAGCTCGGTTGCTAAGTCTTCAGACTCCGCAGAGGCTGGGATACATCTGATATCAGGGTTCCAAGTCTTCAATCAACCAAGAGAGGTAGAGAGTGACATGGATTTCGTCATATTTTTGTTTGCTTTCTTGTGTATGGATAATGCAAGCCTGTAGCCAGCAATGTGTGTGTGTGTGTGTGTGTGTGTGTGTGTGTGTGTGTGTGTTGGGAGAGAAGGCAAAAGTGAACCTTTTTACTGTGAAACCTTTATTGTGCTAATAGAACCTGATCAAATTTTGATTCAGAGAGGACCTTTTGTTGCCCAAAAAGATGATTGCATTTCTTTCTAAATCCTCCCCACAAACCTCCCCTGCCTATACAGACCTGTAAGTTTTTCTGCATACAGCTGATGTTAATAAAATGGTTTTTTTTTTATTTAAGTCAGATAAATACATAAATTTATCAGCTGATTCAATTCAGCAGTCATTATTATGGATAATAAATGTTGTCCATGTTGTGGCCTTATGTATGATTAACAAGGTCATGTGTGCCTCATCTTGAGGTTTAGATGTGACTTTATTTATCAAACTATAGCTGAAGTACCACTTTATATTTGTGGTAGATATTTGACATTCACTGAATTTGAATTCAACATTCCGCATTAGTAATTTAGATGTTATTACTTAATTTATAATTATTATAATTGTATAATATTCCTTTGCCTGTTCTTTTCGGAAACATGTTTACATATAAAAATATGAATATAAAAACTATCAAAGTGATTACAGAGAGCCATGTTATCTTAAAAAGTTGTTGATAAAAATGACAGATGCCCAGAATTTCATGTTTTTTCAGAGGCCAATATACCATGACATAGTGTACCATTTCCGAGATATGACTCCTCAGGAACTGCAGCATATTCCAAGAAATTTCAGGTAATCGCTGTCATATCTATATTCTTACTAGCTATGGAGAAACATCAAGTATCATAGGCCACATTCAGAATAGGGGACTTAGAGCGCATTCTCAACGAATTAAGCCAGGCTTTACAAAGCCGGTGACCTAAAAATGGCGGACGTACATGAAAGAAAAACCGCCTAATCTTTTAATAGTCTCTCCGCCTCCCCACACGTCGTTCCTGCGGGGTAAAGTAATTAAATCGCGTCTCCGTTCGCCATGCGGAAGCTACCTGAGAAATATTAAGTGCGCATGCTCATCAGTTAAACTCGTGGTGAAGAAAGCATGGCGGCTGAAGGCGATCGAAGGAAAAAAAGCTATTCTGTTCTATTATCTTTGAAAACAGAGACGAAAAAGGAATAATTTGGCCCGTAGAGCAGCAATGAATCGACTATCTACGGAGATAATATCACCAGAGATATTCACGGAAATATTAATGTTCGTAGCCGAGATTTAATTACTGTACCCCGCAGGGACGACGTGTGGGGAGGCGTGTGAGAGGCGGAGAGACTATTAAAAGATTAGGCGGTTTTTCTTTCATGTACGTCCGCCATTTTTAGGTCACCGGCTTTGTAAAGCCTGGCTTAATTCGTTGAGAATGCGCTCTTACTAATCCAAGAGTCAAATATGGCTGACCTACTTGAATACTTCCTCACAGGGAATCTATTCAGTGTCTATTAGCGGATTAGACGGCAAGCTTTGTATTGGTTCGCCATAGTTGGTCACCTATTCTGAATGGGGACTTAGTTACAAAACAAAGGATAATGGCTCCATCATTTCAACTGAGACAAATTACCAATTTTTCAGAAAAATAAATTTGAAATGATTAACAACACATTTTTATGTTGCATTTTGGTGCTTTTACTTTAAGAATGGAACTATAAGTCTGCTTTTCAATTGTGCTGCTACCACTGAATCGCAATGTTGTAATTTTAGGAATTTATTCTGTAAAAAACACATAATTTGTAAAATTCACAATTTTCCCGGTTGAAATGATTGAGTGATTACTGTACTGTCATATTCTACAACTATGGCCATCTTTGAAACTACTTTATGAATAGCACGTCATGTAGTATAACTAAGCTTGGTAAGATTCATACAATCATGGTAACGTACATTGTGCATGTACGTAGTACTGTGAATATTGTCTCGTATTCATTTAAAGCTTAAAAATATGTGGTCACACCATTATTTTTTTATTTTAATTGTGCACAAAGATATGGCTGGTTTTGCACTACACTGTGTATAGAGAGCAGATGGTTTCTACCTTGGCTTATGAGAAAGTAAGTTAATCAAGAAAATATTTTTAAAGCATTGGCTCTTGAAACAAGATTAATTGTTTGTTAAATGATTTTGCAGTTTATTCACCCTTCTCTTTAAAAAAAAAAGACATAAATGGTTAATGAAGTGAGTCAGAATTTGTATTTTTTACAGTTTTTGTCAGTTATTTAGTTATCTCAATTTATGACTGAAATTGATATTTAATTCAGACATATTTTGTAGATTTCGGTTGAATGGTGGACAAGTTGAGCACAGAACACTGCACAGTTTAGCAGAGGTATCATCAGTTGCTGTTTTTTGTAACCTGTCAATAATCCCAACTTCTGGAAATTGAAACAAAATACTTTTAGGCTTATTTCAGTGTTCATGTGTAAATATATATTTTTATGGTATTATCTGATTAGGTGAAAGTCAGATGCTTTGATGACGAACACAGTACATGCTTGTAAAAGGATGAAATACTGTGCTTCTTGTATATTCTGCTGCGACGATATGTATTGATGTAGGAAATGCTGTTTACCCCAGGAAAATGCTTAAAAAATGAGTTTTTGGCAAGAAAATCGTGGCTTGGAATTAAGTGTCGTGCTGAAAGTAAAAAAAAAAGGGATTTTTAAATTGAATATGTTAAAGTTGACATGAAATATTTTAAAAGGCATAAGTATTAAACTTTCATATGATATTTCCCTTCTTATATATTTTATTTATAAATTGGAAGTTACCCACTTGAATACATGTATATATGATTTTTTTACAGTTAGCAGACACGTATGATCTGGTGGTCAACTGTAGTGGACTGAGGGCAAAGACATTAGTTAATGACCACAAGATGTACCCAGCAAGAGGACAGATGCTAAGAGTAAGTGTCTGTACATGTATAATTTTGATGGGATAAAACTGGATTCAGACCAATTTAAATCATCTTCATTTAAAATATGCATCCCAGACTAGTGACAAAAGACATCTGAAATGCTAAATTTTAGCTAATCAAGGCATGCTGGGATGGTTATTTGTGTAAATAACACATATTTTGCTATAATTGTTTTTTTAATACAATTGTAGTACAGAAGTTCAGTAATATTACATAAATACTGATTTCCGGTTTTTAAAAAACCTATATGTTGCTTTTGATTACATTGGTATTTATGCATAAATTGTTGTTTGTGACTGTGTGTGTGTGTGTGTGTGTGTTTGAGAGAGAGAGAGAGAGAGAGACCAATATTGAAATAATATGATTCATTTGTTCATTTGTCTGATGCCACAAATGCATCTATGCGAGTACTTGCAAAATAATTTCAGGTTGAGGCCCCATGGCAGACACATTTTATCTATGATCTTGACTCGGGTCCTTATATTATACCCTGGTAAGTGATGAAGCTTGTTGCTGAACTGAAAGGAAGCGACAGTGATTATTAAAATTACCGGTATCTACCAGTCATGCTTACATATTAATGTTAATAAACTGTCAGTCTTTTAATGGGCTATCAGTCAGCCTTTCTGCAAATTTATGAATAATTTATGTATTTGGACTGATTATCAGTTAAGCTGTTCCCAAACCAATAAGTACATTAATTCATGTCTGAGGGACTTTGCAGACTCCGCAAGACATCAAGATGTTACAACCTTATGTATGTTTGACTCTTCTGGTAAGATTTTTTGTATGCATCCCTTTTCAAAAACAATTGCATTTTGACATTTCGTTTCATATGAAAAATTCAATGTCCATTCAAGTTTATCCAGACTTTTATTTGCAGTGCAGGCAATGTGGTTGTTGGTGGACAACGTCAAGTCGGAAACTTCAATCCAGAGAAAGATCCAAAAGATACCCAGAATCTGTGGGAATGGGGAACTCAGTTATCCCCAAGCCTAAAGGTATCTGAATATAAGCAAGATCTTGATATAAGCCATATAATAAAAAAAAAATCTGGGAAAGTCATTATTTTGAACAATTATAAAATAACCATATGAACCAAGGTAAATATTTTAACCAAATATTAATGGGCAATTCAACCACCATTCATTACTTTTTTGTATACACTGAAGATTTAGTTTTTCAATTTCATTTCATACATAGTTTTTCAATTTCATGTCTCTGAACTCTTTTGGTAGAGTATATAATTTCAGCAGTGGCGCGATTGACTTTATAACAGAAATAGCAAACCTACCAATATTCAAATATTGTGCTGTGTGCCTTGTATTAGTATATGTAACTACATGTAAGAATGGGCAATTAAAATCAGTAAAATTGTATACTTGCCCGCTTCTGTCTAACATGCCCACTTCTGTGATTCTTCTCTCTGAAACTAATCATGCTCTGATATGACTGAAAAATCATTGCCTTCCAGTCAGCCAAGTTGCTGTGGGAGTGGGTGGGGCTACGGCCCCACAGGGACCCCCCTCGTGTAGAAATGGAACTCCTGAAGTTGGGAAGCAGATCGTTAAAGGTAATCTGTCTTGTTTATCATCAACATCAAATGGATGATATTATTATTATTATTATTATTATTATTATTTATAAAAGCAAAATATGGAGGTACTTGTACATATTGCTTATCGATAGTAATGAGCTAATTTAAAATGAATCAATTTGTTTTAAAGTTTAACCATACCAAAAGACTGTATACTTTCATGGAAGAGCATAAAAGCCAACAAGTTGTGTAAAAACAGACAGTAAGACAAACATATTTTAATAAAAAGACCCTTTTATATTACACTTTTATTTTTCCAGGTAATCCACAACTATGGTCAGGGTGCCAATGGAATCACGCNCACTGAAGTTTGACTGACAAATACATTTTATCTAAAATTTCATTCTACTTGTCCTTCCTGTTACAAATGATGCAAGCTGCAGTTATATGGGATCATCCAAGATGGCATAAAATGAGACCGTCGGCACTGCATGATGTCTTACAAGACTAGAAATTGTGTGAGAACCTGCATGAAGTGTGGTTGACCCTTTGTCAATAAGTGTGAAACTCTACATATACGCTCCAGCAATGCCGTTTTATAATCTAATACAAAAGTAACACACAAAACATCATGAGTACATACTATTGTGCAAAAGATTGTTATTCTACAGAACTTAAGAAAAAACAGGCCGAAAAAATACCCATGGATAAATTCTGTAAGCTTATTTTTGTTTGTGCACCACACTTACATATGTCATTATTTCTGACCCCCCTCTCCCCCAAATCCAAAGAAATCTTGTCTGATTTTATGCTAAGCTGGAAGATACTAGACTATATTGAATGATGCCCATTACACAGAAGTTAAATGCAGAATCTGATGGTTGCAATAAAACAGCACAGATGTTCCATTACATTTTTCCACTGGTATACTTCCTCTCCTAAAAGTAAACTAACACGATATATCTTGCTAGCATCTGCTAGCATGCATAATCTCATGTTCAACATTGCCTTACATCAAAATAAGGTGTAACTGTACAGTTCAGTACATTTTTTAATTATCTGGTTTAATATTTCATGATAATTCATACATGCTCCATTAGACTTCTCTCTCTTTAAACACTGTAAAATAAGCACGTTTCTGATTTCAAAGATGTAGAAGTGTCTAGCTCAATCAAAAATTATCCAATCCAAGCTATTGTTTCATCAGCAAAACTGGCATTACATTGCTATAAATAGTGGTTTTCATTTTATGTAAAAGCAAGTGGTACAAAAAATATGAAAAAGAATTACAATTTGACTCTGCCCTACTATTATACCACCTGTTTCAAATATCATCGTGAGTGAATTTTTTTGCACAACTTAAGCAGTTGATGTCATTTTGTTGTGTGACCTCAGGTGCTGGCTTTCTACACAAATAAAAGAAAAATTACTGTGAAACTCCATAACAATTGTAGATATGTTGCCCTATTCTGATATACCTAAAAGTGCCAAAACAGTCAAAACATCTTCAGCCATGCTTTCAAAATGAACCACTGATAAGTGTCTGAAAGAAATTTGAAGTCCAAATTTTATTAAAATACACTGTACGGTTTTATGAAATCATGATGTCTATATGGGGGGGGGGGGGGGGAGGCAAAGTGATTTCCATTTTGTCAGAATTTGATACAAATGGCCAGAATGAAATGAAAAGTCGATTTCGAAATTGGTTCAAGACCTTACTTGATGATACAACATGCAAATTTTACTTCTTCAATGTGGTTTCTTAATACAGCTCTTTATTAAATCCATGTCTTGAAGTCCCTGTTTATTTCATTTTATTAATTTTTTTTACTCTATTCTATTTCATATCTTTTTAGGCTGATGAACACTTTTACTACTTGATCACATGCTGGTTTGTAAAAACTGAAAAATCTTGAATGAGGGAGACAATTCTTGCAACTTATTTTTGTTCCTTTATGTACAACTAAATTTTTAAAACACAACAATTATATGCAATTGTCCGTCACAATGCTCATATGGCATGAAAAACCAGAGTCAAACCAAAATACAAATGTGTGGATTCTAATAAAAGATAGTGTTGCATTAAAATGTCTAGGAAGAGGAAATAGTAAATGTGGATCTGGGTAATTTGATTATCAGTTTGTGATTATGTAATAGGTAATAAAGCATATATGTTGCACTTAACGCTTGTTTTAGTATTGCAATTATGTAGGCTGCCATTAGGCCTACATTATTAAGTATAATGTCAGAGTTTTATGGAAACATTGTGGTGTCACTTAAAATCAAAGGCAATTGTTTGTGCCACCATTTATGCATAATGCTAGTTGAATTGATTGTTTCAGCGCACACACACACACACACACACACACACACACACACACACACACACACACACAGTAGTATGTTAATTCTTTCATGTATAATTTTGCTGTGTCATTTCTTTCAGGCAGCTGCTATGGGTCTCCAGAAGCTTTATTTTGTTCAGTAAGTAAAAGAAAAACATTGTCTGCTTGTGTTTACTCCCCTTCTTATACCAATATACTCCACCCTCTTGATATTGGAAAATTTGTTTAATTATTTATTTATTTATTTATTTATTTTATTTTATTTATTATTTTTTTTTTTTTTTTGCTATCAAGTCATTTTTGTTTGCTTTTTTTTTGTATATCACAGCAATAATAGAAAAACAAAGAATTATTTTTTTCAATTTTACTTTTAAAAAGGAAAAATGAAATTTGTGGTTGACTTTTCATTTTATTGTCACCTTTTCATTAAATGAAAAGGAAAATACAACTGTTTTTTTTATTTTTTTATTTTTTATTTTTCTAACTAAATGGAAATCACTTTGCCCTCCTATACACCTTGCGCATTATGGCGCTGATCATTCCATCTTTGAGGCCAAGCTCTGTCTGTCTATATAACTGCCTTTCTCGCCTCCAATATATATAACTGAATATCTATAACATAATACATAACCGTACATATATAAGATACATAACCTATAACCGTGGATTTTTTCCCACATTTCTTCTCTACTCTTAATACAACCCACGTCAACATAATAAAAACTGAATGTCAAGACAACATCAGTTCATTTATGCTTAGCATCTGTGTGGATTTAATTAACAGGCTTACAATATATTATGATCTTTAATCACGTTTTAACAACTCAGACCACGTCGTCCTGAATCAGCTGATCAGGGCCGGCTGATCATGAAACAATGGACATCAAGATACCCACCCCTCGATTCCCGTCTGCTCTATAGTTCCAGTCAGGGATACACATTCCACAATCTGCAAAAAAAGAAGAAAAAGTCCATTCATTTCAAAATTAATCAAATTTTTATTCATTCAGCAAACACAAAAAAACATAAAACTAGTTACCCTCCAGGTTCCAAGGAATTCCTTTTCCACATCATCCGCCATATTGAATCCTCATGTTTACATCGAAAATGCATGCGCATTGATGATGTGACGTCATTTACATTTCTAAGAATAGAACTGTCACGGCTAAAGGCAGTTGCTGAGTCAATGTTTCCACGTGGCAATGTTTTTGCTTGGACCGTCGCCATCTCTCCTTTCTCAAATCCAGGATACCAAGGGGGCGTAGGGGTAGGGACTGGTATTTTCCCATCGTGTTTGAAACATGTACATGTATTAATGTAAACGCCGCTGAAACGCGACCTTCTGCCCCCCCCCCGCAACCCAATGTTAATAAACTATTGGTAGCCTACACAGTTCCCTTTAGAAGAATTTAAATATGGAAAATGTTTTCTTTTTTAAACCAGACATTTTTATCCACCTATATCAAGATATATGGAGCTAAGACAGATTAACGTACTCGTGCTTTTTTCTCGTTTTGGGAGCGGACGCCCCTCCCATGGTAAAATCTTATTATCTGAGGCACAGGCGATTTAATAATTAGGCCTATAGGCCTACTAAAAGGAGGAGGGGGGGCATTAAAATAAGCATAACTCTCCAGGGCTGTAAGGGATGAAAAAATTGCTTGGTTCTGTCTTGTATTATTTATTTATTTATTTATTTAGGGTCTGTTTGTTTGTTTGTTTTATATTGGGGTTGGTGTTGTAAAAGATGGAAAAGGGGATAAAGCCTTAAAATTTATATTATTTTTCTATTTATCAATCAATCAGTTTATCAACTTTGAGAGGGACAATTTCAGTGACTTGCATTAATAAATAAACAATTTATATCTATCACAGATCTAATCACGGGCTGGCATTGTCGATCCAACATATATCTCCAGGTTTGTCCTTATAATCGAGAGTGCGTAGCGTGCAACTTTAAGCCCGGTCTCCCCTATATGGAGGAGGATATGACTACCATAATGGCGATATTAACGACCAGATGCATTGTGGTTTTTCTTATTGTGATCACTTTGCCTGCTTACGCAAGGTGCCAACTCTCAGATATAGATTTACGTAAGGATTGCGGAACTTGTGGTGGGTCAATCATCTTTCTGGTAGCCTGCAGTTGACACCAACACTCACTCGGGCCCGCAGATCGTCACAAATATCAACTGCCAGATCATGTTTCAGAGTTGATTATTATTTATAACTACGTGCAGCTATTCTTTCTTCAAGTAACCACACAAAAGCCTTAAATTACTTTGTCACATTTTTTTACAATTACTTTGTCACTATTCCTTTTTCTCACAATGGTGCTCTACTACACGGCGACGGCAGTTGAGTATCTAGAATGCTTCATTTCTTATATGTTTTTGTTTTTTTTTTAAATCCGATTCTGTTGAAAATCTTTTCATTTGAATTTTCAGGAAATGCATGCTGCGCTTTGCAGTTCATAGTAGGTAGGTTCTAATGTTTAATTTTTATGTTTAATGCTTTTCGTTTATATCATTGATTTCATTATTATTATTTCATACAGACTTGACATTTAATATGGAATATTTTTTCTAAATCATTATTCATTAGTTTTTTTCCTATTTTGCAGACTGATAAATAAAAATAAGGATTAAAATCGTGTTTAAATAACTTTTGATAAAATGTTCCATGTCATTGCGACATCAGTTCTTTAATTGACTTCGCCAGTGAAGCAAACAAAAATGCATTGCCAATTTTAAGTCATGCGACAACCATTGAAAGCGATATTTTGGATCTCCATATCTTCCAAACTATCGTCTTTAAAAGAGTTCAACGACACACAAAGGACCCTCATGTCAGTTTCTAGTCACAGTAACAGTCGCTGCTATGCCTGACCTTATCTTCCTGCTACCAGAGCTCTNAGCCCAAAGGAGCACTACCCAATTAAATCACTGCATATTACACAATGCAGCAATGCATCAGACTTGGTAATCAGTTAATTGGTAGAGACACACCTGTTTTCACACTTCTCCTGTCAGATATCTTAAATGAGATCTGAGTTTTTTCAATAAAGAACGCATTTTTACCTAGGTATACCTTTAAAACTGAAATATTCCATATTAAATGTCAAGTCTGTATATTTAAGTCTCGTCTCTCGTTTAGGTCTAATTAAAACATATAGTACAAACATTGAAAGAGAGATTTTTAAAATTTATGAGAGATATTCTAGGACAATTAATGATTAGACTAAAAGAAAATAATTTTGGGATAAGTGTACAATGAACAAACGTTGATAGTGCAGAGACAGAGAGTTTTTGTGTTGGTCTCCAACATGAAAGTGCGGTTATTCTCAGTCGAAAATATTTTGTGACAAAATAAATTTCCTGTGTCAAAAATGTTATATGCTCTCTGTGACGTAAGGGCCGATTACGAACCCGAGCAATATCGTTGATTTTCGCCTCTTATCATATATCTTGATAAGAGTATTCATTCTCACAACCATGCATACATGCAAGCAACAGAGGTATTTATTGCATTAAATTAAGCAAGTATTGTAATTATTTAGCATTACATGACCCAGTCACATAAAAATCTAATTAAACGCACGATATTTAATTATTGCAGATTTCGTTCTCGTTCTACTTATATACAGACGCCTACGAAGCACATGTGAAATTGGGGGGGGGGGGTAAGATAAAAAAGTTAGTGATGTGAGAAGGAGGGGATAAATAACGACAAAATAGAAGTTGGATGTCGCGGTTGACTGAGCTCTCGGCTCTCGATATTTATAAACAAAAATGAACAAACAGAGTAAGGTAAACCACTCTCTTTACTTCATCTTGACATGGCCATTTGAAGTCCACTTATAATTAAATTCCTTATGTTCCCAATAATTTTGGGATAAGTGAACTATTTTTCCGATTCGCCATTAATTTCTTTTCTTTTTTTTTTTTTTTTTCAAATCGCTTAATTCGACATTATACAAACAGGGGCTTTCTGTTTTTGAACATTTTAAAGACTTTTTCATTTATATTTTCCTATGTATCAATATGTTATAGGAGGAAGCAGTGAGCCCATCTATGAGGAGTTTTCTAACTTTCTGATGAAAGGTGAGTTTGCTTTCCAGTCATGTCCATTTACGCCAAAAGTGGTTTTCCATAAATTCATATTGCTCATCAAAAGATTGCGTTGAGTTTCTGGTGAAAGTCAAAGACAGAGAATAAATCTTTTAGGTGGCACTGATGGCTGGTACTTTTATTCGGATTCAACTGATCTTCGCTCGCAAAATGTGTCGGCCGATTTCATCATTCAGGTAAGACTGGTTTTTATCCGTAATACTACAATAAAGCAGATACCATTTAGTTACACAGTCAAGCGGGTATATAGGTCATATAATTAATCCTCTTCTGAATATTGTAATATTAAAAAGCTTCTAACACTTTGTGAAACAGGTTCTGTTAGGTCCAGACTTTGGCTTGTTTACTTTTGTTTTCACATATTATTGGCTCTTTTTACAACTTGTGCAAATGAACGCATTTAACTCATGATCAAACAACTGAATACTTATTTGACAAGTAAATCGAATTTTCATCATTTTTCCGTAAATCTAGGGATACTATTCATCTATTTTAAACCGCTACCAAAACACGCTGAATTTCGCTGTAGAAAAGAGTACTAATCTACAAATGGTGTCTGTGAGAGCTTTCTCCATCTCCAACGTTACCGGAACATACTGTGATGCTGGGCAGAATTACAAGAATTTGGTTCAATTTATGATTGGACTAAGTAAGTACACTACGTTCAAAACCTACGACTATTAAGATGGTACTCGGAATGTAAATAGATTAGAATATTAAAGTGCTTTATATGGCAAAAAATTAGTGTATGATAAATTTAAACACTTTTCTCTTAATGTCCTTAATCACCAAAGTAATATCATATCTAAAACCGTTTACAAATCGATTCCAATGTTTGAGCCTCTCACGCAATGGAGTTTGTTTTTCATTCTGACTTTCACTCATTATAACGGTAAAAGCTAGACATTGAGTCTCGAAAACGGTTTTATAGATAGTAATTTCAGAGCAATTTGTCGCGCATTGTAGCCTATGCTTTTCACTCTATCTCGTTTAGATTTAATATCAAATTGCCGATGTTAGACGTAGTGAAATCTAATTTGAAAAAAGTCAGAAGTAGCAAATGTAATTTCATTTAACATGTTGAATATTTTTTCAAGAGATGCCTTATACCGAAGTTCACATTTGGGGATGCCCAAAAACGAAGCCGTAGTCATTGTACCACGAAGCCATTTCAGCGTTACTAGAACAGTGCCAGAGATTGGGTTGGCTTCAGAACTCAATACTGTTTATAAAGACAGATGTAAAGATTCACGAAAATCAAATTCTGAATACTTTACAGCTCATTTTAGTTTAGAGTGAAGAATCAGTTGTAAAATTGTGGAAATAATACTTAAAAAGATCTGTTTAACAGCAGCACTGGAGGCAACATCGAGAGACTGAAAACAACTGAATTTTCACGTGAACCTTTTTAATGACCTGTGTACGTTGGCTGTGAGGTATAAGGGGTAGTGTTTTTATGGTACACCTAAGGTAGATAAACAAAGACGTCTTGAATTTCTCGAAAACCATCTAATATAATCCACTGCCATTTTGCCCTTCACCAGTTTAAGGTATTGTTTCATTTTTCGACATTTTGAAATGATTAGTTATTGCATTCGACACTGCGGCGTCAGGGTTCAAAAACGTTATAGTAGTGAATAAGATAAGGCGATCAAGCATTAATACAATGGCATGTCTCTTGCTTCTTTTTATTTGCCACCATGTAAATTAGCACTTCACAGAAAATTAAGAAGTAAATTAGATTTTTAGGTGAAGTGGCAGGGCGTGATAACCACAGACTTGACATTTAATATGGAATATCTTTTCCCAAATCCCTTTTCTTTTGTTTTTTCCCCTATTTTTCTGACTGATAAATAAAAACAAAGATTTAAATTTTTTCACTTTCAGCACCAACGTAACCGTAACAGTATGCCCCGTTTAGTAGTGATAATATTTTGATGCCTGGGTGTGGCCTCTGCGTAAATGTAGAGGACATGCGTTAGTTACATGGAAAGAATCCAGCGATGGAACCAACTGTCCGACATTTTTACGGGAATAAAGGATTTGCAGCATACAGGAACTTAGTGTTGGCTGCACTCAAAATAATACTACATGTGCGATTAGATGAATAGTGACGCAGCCGATGA